CTCTCTACTCTCTCTCTCTCTACTCTCTCTCTCTCTACTCTCTCTCTCTCTCTCTCTCTCTCTCTCTCTCTCTCTCTCTCTCTCTCTCTCTCTCTCTCTCTCTCTCTCTCTCTCTCTCTCTCTCTCTCTCTCTCTCTTCCACTTACTCGCTGGTTCGCTCCCTCTGTCTTTCGTCCGTTTCACACGGCTCTCGGCTTGGATTCTCCTCACTGAATTGTCTTGCGCCTTCGAGGGATGAAATTAGCATTCCACGCGTCCTCGCTCGCTCGGAACGCGTTCGTGAGATACTCCATATTATCGAAACCGTCGATGTCATCCCAGAGCGCGCCGTTAACTAATTATCTGTTACCGATGGTAATAACGGCGATAATACTGATTATGCGAACGTAATCGAGTACCTGCGGTGTATGTGGGTGGGTATGCTTCCGATCAAATTAATTCCGTACGGTAGCTTTGAACACATAGCGCTTTATCCGATCAAATCGCGTGCGGTAATCAGGCTCAATAGTTCAGAATGGCGCTCTACGTAACAGAACAGTCTCTTAAGAGAATATTAATGTGACAACATTGTATTTTTATCTTGTTTCATTTCAGATATTCAATGATGTCAGTATCCTGTTTAGCATCGGCGGCAGATATTACACAGGTGATCCTATCATATTTTCTTACATGGAGGATAGAATCTTTGAACAATCGAGAAATGTCTCGGTTAAGCTACATCATCGGATCGGCAAGTTCGTCAAATTGAGATTCACCTTCGCTGCACGATGGCTTATGATCAGCGAAGTCACCTTTGACTCCGGTAAGTTATAGCGCATGGCTTCTGCAATTTTCCACTATTTGTCTTCACAATTCAAATAGAAAGTTGGGAATTGTGACGTTTATAGAATCGCATATTATCGAGACGTTTTCTTTGAGAAGATCGTAATGTTTGAAGCTTTTTCTGAAGCTACAACATACGAACTTACAGATATCTATATTCATATTCCATTTAATTATTATATTAAGATGCAATGAAAGATTGATAACAAAATATTGCCAAATATATTATTCTAAAAATAATATATGTGCGATATACAATATATAATTTATTATAATTAACAATTTAAAATATTTTAATGTGCAATTTCTTAATTTGTAAAAATGCATATTTATACAAATTTTTTTATATATTATTGATCATCGATGAGCGTCAAAGTTGGCAGAAAATGTTGTATTCGGCAGCACGTGTTTCTATCGTGTTGCAGACATCGCTCACGGTAATTTCACCCCAGAAACGCCACCTACGACTCAAGCTCCGCTAGTACCGATTAGAACTTCGGGTCGCGACAATCCGGTGCAAGCCGAAGTTCCGGTAGCTAAGCAGGACGATCCGACTTACATGGCTGTGATCATTGGCGTCTTGACCGTCGTAATTCTGTTGCTGGCGGTCGCCATATTCCTAATAGTCACGCGTCACAGACAGCGGAAGAACTTTGCCAGTCCTCTCGGCGCCAAGAGCGCGATTCCGACGGGCAATCATCAACATCTGTCGCCGGAATCCGCGTACGGCACCACGGAGAAGGATCCCTCCTTGATGACCTACCGGGTCGAGGAACTCGACGACCGGTACGCTGGCACGAAGCTCACGACCCTACCGCGAGATCTCAATGATCGTCTTTTGGGCGACGTCAGGCTCGACGAGTACCAGGAACCCTTTCACGAGAACAAATATCGAGACTCCCCTCATACGGCGTACTACGGATACAGCACGGTTGTTGTAGACAACAAGGACCTCCATGACAACGTCGAACAGTCTGGTGAGTCGAGTTCCTTGAACTTCTTCAGCGTAACCACGATACGCGTTTCAGAATACAAACACGAAATAGTCAAACTATATCGCGTGTCACTTAGTTTAATAACCCTGTGCGCCTGCACACGCTTTTAAATTTCACGACTCTTGAAGTTTGGCAGATATGTATGACGTATTAGCAAATATATTATCTCTGATGAAAAGGATTCAGAGTAATAAAAGAAAATATTTTTTGCTGTATAGATGCCACTTATGATTACGCAGTACCAATGCCCGTGCCTAGTGTAAGCAGCGACCAGGATAGCGTATTCTCGAAATCGTCCTCCAGAGGTAGCGCAAAGGTGAGATACAAAAGCGCTTGTAACAGTCACATTGGAAATTAAAATTTCAAGTTAATATCTCTACAATGACAAAATTACGATTTTTTTTAATGTTTGGTATAATTTGAATCTTTCGAAAAATGACATTTTTTTTATTATTAATTAACTGGTAAAATATGAGCAACGTTACAAAAATGTTACTCTTTTTCTTGCTATTTTTGAAGTAAGAGCATTTTCCACGAAACGTGTTTGCCGGACATGTGAAGGCGTCAACGTTTCATATGCTTTTCCGATGCATTAGGCGTGCTTGCAGAGCTTTTTTCCGCCACCTCCGCCCCCCATGAGTGCACCACCTCTTCGAGGCACCAACAACTTGACATACTCGAATCCACCGAGTCCGGAACCAGTGTGCGATCGTGAACGCAGAAGTAGTAAGCGCCGCGAGCACTCTTTGCACAGATACACGTAAGGACTTCTTGCAATCCGCAGGATATTCAGGAAGGGGAAAGGATCGAAGGTATGATGGATTCTTCGTTACTACAGAACAACGAGATTGCGTGACCGAGTGAACCCTCCGACACTGATTTACCTTCCAAAAATATCTGTTCCATTTCGAGTTCTAACAAGTATAAATTTTTACAACAACCGCACCAAGCACCACATTCAAAATTTATATTTAAATAGTAATATTCTGGTTTTATAAAATGAAAAATATATTTATAATCTATTTTTATCGTGATTTCTGTATCTTTGTTTCACAATAATTGAATAACTCTATCCGTGAGCAGATTATTATAAACATCAACTTTGTGATTAAATTAAACTGTCGCTTCTACGTATGTCATGCCACTTCTTTTTACACGAAAGTTTTTATCGAATTAATTTATTCACACTCATACCCGCATACATACATACATATATGCATATACGGTCCTGTATTTTGCAAATCCGTTCCACATGCTTGACTCCGTATGCGCGTTTTATAATATTTATACGCGTCGGAAGGAAGGAACGGAGGATGGAGCAGAGTAAAATAGACTCAGTGCCGTGAGGGTGCTGTGAGAACACGCGCGTTGTTAATCTCGAGGTAAAGACCGGTGGCAAAAGTAACACGTTGTATATTTCGAAGTAAACGCTGTGAGCGACCGCGCGGCGAAAGGGGTCGTAATCCTGCTTGTTACAACAACGATATTTTTTTCCCCGAGTTTAGCGCATCGCGAAAAAAAAAAAACGACGCGATCGCGGCGCGGTCGCGTCCGTCGCGAAACAGGCCCTCTTCTCGACGAGCACTGCCATCGACGAATTAACGAATTTTCGAACATATATTGTAGGCGTGATCTCGAGCACGGTCTTTTAGGGAGACTCGACCTACATCTTACGAATAAGTGTAATCTCGTATAATCGAAATTGTATTAGATTGGCATATCAGTTTTAACGATAAAGCGACCTCGTGCAACAATGACTCTTCCCGAGATTCGTCCGTGAAAATCACAGGACGTACACCTTGACGTTTTCAATCGCCTACGCTTATTCGAATCGCTCATTGAGAGTCAAGTCTCAATATCTGCCGCGTTTCAGCGCACACTGCCAAGTCTCCTCTATACTCGAAGTGGAATTTCGCGGACGAGATGTAACTTGTGACGTTGCGAAATGCCACTTCCGTCCATCAATCTCTCAGAATGGCACAGGCAAACGATGTGTAACCATTAGGCGGAACATGTATATGTATACACGTCAACGCGCGCGGACGAATTTCCAAAGAAGAGTCGCGTTAATGATTTGGTCTGTTCGGCGCGCATGTGCAACCAGATCGAGCTCGCTATCGATCCAGGAGAAACGCGGAGCAACCAGGGGGGAAAAAAAAGAACGGCCGGGGCGGATGAGATATTTATCCGATGGCGCGATCGTTACGTCGGGTCGAAGAGATAATTAATTACTGGCTTGATGGAATAAGCGGGCGTTTCAATTATTCGCGCGTTCGGACCAACGTCAGGCGACGTGGCGCTTGACATCGGGGGAAAAAAGCCGCGACGAGATCGACGTGACGATATTTAAAAGAGCGAACGGTAGCGAGCTTCGATCCCGCCTCACACAAGACTGACGTCACATAAATAATTCAGTAACCTGACTTGCGCCATGCACGCGCACGTCGTATTATTTATTGCCCCGTGACGAATTCTTAATTTATATATACATATATATATATATATATATATATATATACATATATATATATATATATATAATTGTATATATATATATATATATATTAAAAAAATGGGTAATACGTATTATCGTACGACGATGAATTTTAAGCATATAATAGATTGTATAAGCCCAACTTTATTTCTCTATCTCTACCGACATCGCCTTCATGCAACGAGGAGAATCGAGAATTACCAGCGTTAAGGAACCGACAATACAGGGATGAGACAACAATAACTACATATGTACGTAATTGAACAAAAAAAAGAAGAAAACGTATAGAAAGATTCGAGATATCGGGTGCGCAAGGATAAGAGAGACCCTCGACCACATTGTGATACATAATGAAAAAGAGCCCGG